CAAACTCCAGTTTTCTCAGCTGCCAGACGGCGATGAGTATGATCCCTGGGTGCACGGGGCCGCTGCACAGAGGGCCTAAGCCGGCGTCTGGGCCGAGCCTCTTGTGCTGCCCTGGGGTTGACATTTACAGGCCGGACGGAGCTAGAGCTCATGCATGTCCAGGAAGCCAGGGTTTCTGGCTCACTCAGGGTTTCTGTAGGAATGAATTGAGATGCGTTTCTTACAAAGGGCTCAGCACAGCTCTTGCACGTCGTAAGCAGGTAGTAAGCGCGGGCTCTGATTTTTATTACCGCTGTTATGAACACTCTGATCACTATTGCTCTTCCCAGTATGGGAGGTCCAGGCACCAAACAAAGGCGGGACTGAGCGGAGCTGGTGCCATTGATTCAGCACTTTGTCATCTGCAGAGGGAGGAATCCTGTTCTCCCCTGCCAGAGGGGGCTGGGCGGGGGCTGACACGCATGCCCTGACTTTAGGGAACTCATGCCTGGGTGGGGAGATACCATGAGGTATCCACAGCACCCGGTGGCAGGAAGCACAGCCCTGAGGGTCGCACTTAGAACTTCAGACCAGGGGTCCAATACCAGCGAACTCACCAGGCCGAGGGGCAGAATGTGTGTAAATGAAACTGTCCGTGAAAACCCAGCCCCTGTGGCCACTGGGTACAGTTGCTCCTCGGAGCACTGCCTCAAGCTGGAAGGGAAGGACAGGGAGGAATGGAATGTTTCTCAGAGGGATTTGTATTCTTTTTTTGAGAGCAGGCAGGGAGAACAGGATATCTTTTTCCTTTTCCTTTGTGTAAATTTCTGAAGTCAGTAAGTGGTGTTAATTGTTACTCAGGAATAACTGGGGTGACCCAGATACAGGAGAGTCGGGAGCGGGGCAGGGCCCTGTCCAGTCCTAGGAGATTTCGCTCCCTGCCCAGAGTGGCCCTTGAAATCCCCAGGAAGAGCCCCTGTCTGCCCACCCGGCCTCAGAGACTCCTCCCCGGCTAGAAACTTCAGTGGCTGCGTCTCTCCACTTGGTGCTGCCCCGTGGGGTAGGGATATGAGGCCGGCCCCTGCCGTACGCCCCCTGTCCTAGCATGTGGGTGGCACCTACTATCGGGATAAGCCTCCGTCCTGGGATTCTGAAATGAGCTGTTTGCAGTCGTGGTAACCCACTAGCAGTCAGGGCCTTCCTGCCTGGCTTCAGATGAGCAGCTCGTCCAAAGAGCCCATGATGCTGGGAAGCCACACTGGGAACCAGAGCACTGCCCTGGGGAGCCAGCCTGTAGCTCAGCATGCAGCTCAGCATTCTAGCAGGGAGATGACACCATGCGCGACCTCACAGGGCTTGGCTCGCTGCCAGGGCTGCCTGCGCGCCGGAGGCCCTGGAGGAGGCTTGCACGGCCCGTGGCCGAACCCTCACGGCCATGGCACCTGCCCAAGTGGCTTCCTGGACATGCATGAGCTCTAGCTCCATCCGGCCTGTAAATGTCCACCCCAGGGCAGCACAAGAGGCTCGGCCCAGACGCCGGCTTAGGCCCTCTGTGCAGCGGCCCTGTGCACCCAGCCTGCAGCCCAGCTCCGTACCGCAGGCCGAGACATGCCCCGGGCCGGGAAGCACTTCTCCCCGACGGCACCTGGAGGTCTGCTTTACTGTCCATCAGACACGCAGTTCAGAGCGCATGCCTGGGACCCACATGGCTTCCATTTGTATCCAGACTTGACCACTTCCTCATCATGGGGCCGACCTGAATTTCTTACTCTCTTTTGCCCCTGTTTTTTTGCTCAAAAACGGGGATAATAAGGGCACCCAGAGCAAGGCAGCTGAACTTCTCCTGGTCCTTAGCTCGCTCATTTAAAAGTGGAGGTGATGATGACGCTGACCGCAGAGGGCCGTGGGCAGGACGCGATACATGATGTGACTGGGATGGCGCCTGGCACCTAGAAAGTTCTGGGCATGATACAGTTTACATACTATAATCCTCCTCTTCAACAAGGTGCTGAGCGCCGGGCCGGCCCGCTAGCGGGCGGCAGGACTTGGTCTGCCCACTGTCTGCAGGTGCTGGCTCTCTGCACCCCACCCCCAGGGACGTCTGCACACACGGCTCCCCAGGAAACTGGAGGCAGAGTTGAGGAGCGGAAATCAAGTCTCCAGACCGCTAACCCCTGGCTTAGCCCATGGTCCCCTTGGGGTTTCCCTCTGGGGACGGAATACCTTTCACATTCTTGGCACAGTCCCAGGACACCCACCCACTTGTGAATTGGAATCTGCACCAGGTCATCAAGAAGTGGGGAGCGCTTGTGGGGCTCCTCCTGGGTGGCGCAAGAGCCCTGCGTGACCGAGGCTGCCCCAGCCACGGGCCTGACCCACCATCTGTGCCTTTGACTGTGGGCTAGTCCTCTTGTCCCCTCTTCCCACCCCTTGATATTTCCATGTGGTGTTTGTCTCTCCATGAACGCGGAGGCCTGAGCACCGCCAAGCTTATCTATACACTGGACTTCCTGCTGGTGTTGGATCTGCCCCACTCCCCACTGGGTCATAAATTTATGTCGCCTGAGCACACTGATCTGCTGACGTCCATGATGCTGGTGGCCTTGGCAGACTCCAGCTCCCCCCCTTCTGGGTGGGAAATGCAGACATAAACCCTGGCTGACATGAGCTGAACATCCCAGTGACTGACGGAGAGCCAGAACTGGGTGGGCGGGGAGGGTGTGGGAAGTTCATTCATCCATCAGCTGTTTACTGAGGCTTCCCGTGTGCCGGGCTGGGTACTGGGCTCTGAGCATACAGAAGTGCGGAGGACAGGGGGACAGCTTTTGAGGATCACTCCCGCTGGCCTGGGAAACAGATGCGGGTTAATATAACACGCAGAGCTGAGTTCTGGGGTAGCATTAAGGACAGAACCTGTGGACGGAATATACAGTGTAATTTGGGGCTCAAGGAATGCCTCCAGGCTGAGTTTTAATGAAAAGTTTTCTTCCCTTGACAAATCCTCAGCAGTGAGAGCCCAGACGGGTATGGGAAATGAGGAGAGTTTTTTCAGGTTGAGTTATCACAACCCTTTGCACCTGTGGTCTGTTTGTGCTGAGCCCACCATCCAGAGCATCACCTGTGGGCACACTGGGGGCGGCCGCCTTCTCTCCTGTCCTCTGCCCAGGCCCCTGGCAGCTGTAGTTTTCGGCATCTGCTCAGAATTCTGAGTTCCCAGGTTAATCATAACAAGTGTGTTCCGAGAGGAGCTGGCCTGGCCCCTGCCAGCAAGCCTGTCTTGATAACATCTGCACCGAATTTTCTCCCTTTGTATAATTAGGTATTTGCTTTGACTTGAGATTAGAGTGTGACTGGCGTCTCTGAAATTTCAGGCCCAGAGTATGTGCTGGGCCCATAGTGGTGGGAAAACTGAGCTTTCACCGGTGGGGTTTCAGGTTCAGCTGGGAGGGTGGGGAACAGTGTGCTGGCTACTGTCAGCATGAAGACTGCCCTGCAGCCCCCCAACGGGTGGGAAAGGGAGCTCCTGCCTTGCTCCGGGAGCAGTGCGGGGTCAGGCCTGGTGGACAGAAGGATGCAGGACAGCTCCCCCTCCTTCTCTTCCTGCCCTTCTTCCCCCAACATCCTCCCACCCCCGCACCATCCCTGGCCCTGGAGTGACAGGACTCAGCAAACAGGAAAAGATGCACTAACTGCAAAGAAATGCACTGAATCCAGGCTTAACCCCAAAGGCAACCTCAGAGTGTCAGGGCTTGGAATCTTCCTTTGAAATGCCCGTCATGGTCTGGCTATGTCAAGCCAGAGGAGCTGTTTGGGGTGTGAGATAAGGAGTGGTCCTCCCCTGTCTGCTCCAACCAGAAAGGAGGCAAAAGGATTTGCATACCCGCTCCCCGACATCTCTGGAGTGAGCTCTATCTCAGCAGTGACTTCATTTCCCCTAATGGGGTTTCCACAAACTCCCTGGAAGGTTCCAGCCAGTAAGCCACACTGATTGTGGTGTGGGAGTTTCTGATATGCTTGTTTGTACTTTCCCTTGGAGACCGCAGAGGCCCCAGAGGAGTGATAACTGGATGATGGAATATTTGCTAGGGGAAGGGAAATGCATTTTTTAAAGATAAGGTTTGATCCTGAGCAGAGGGGAAGTTCCCAGATGCCTCTGCAATGTTGAACAGTGTGGTGTGGGTACAGGTCTCCTTCCCTGTTGCCTTGCTGGGGTATCCTCAGGGATCTAGACCCCGCCCCAGGGGGACTCTGGCCTCTTGAAGGTGCTGCAGGGGCTGCCTGGGGGTAGGGTGGGTGCAGCACAGGGGTCTCTGACTCTCTCAGCCAGAACAGTGCCGTTTCCCTCTGTCTTTACACGGTGCTGGTGACTTTGTTTAAATAGAAGGGCTTTGCCCAGAACAACCGGTTAGGTCATTCCGTGCTGTCCCTTCTCTCCTAATAGGGCTGTAGCTTCCTTGGGGAAGGACCCTTGTCCTTCTTCGGACTGAGTGTGGGACCTGTATAGAATCTGGTTTTGTCGCCTCTGCTCCCCATGGCCCCAGTGTCTGCAGGACCAAGGTCATACTCCTTCACTTGGTGTTTAGGACCTTCAGCATCTGGCTTCAGACTGAATCTCATCTCTTTCCTCTCCTTCCTTTCCCTTCTCCCAAAGTATCCTCCTCTCCATCCACCTGGAACTTCTTTCTTTTTGAATGGGTGAGCCCTCTGCTGAAATGTTCTTTCTTCTTTTTATTCCTGTCAGAAGTAGGACAGAAGTAATAGTACAGCATGACAGGCCCTGGAGTAAGACCACCTGGGTCTGCATCCTGGTTCTGTCCCTCTGGATCTGGGAAACCAGGGGCCCATTACCTAGCTGTGTTGTGCCTCAGTTTTCCCATCTGTGAAATGAGTATAACAATAGTTTCTTCCTCTCCTATGTGTTGTGAGGACTAAGAGCTAAAACACATGGCGCACATGAACTGAGTGTCTGGCATGTAGTAAGTGTTCAACAGGTGCAGACTCTGGTGACGGTGAGGGTGAGGATGAGGATGGTGGAGATGGTGATGGTAAGGATGAGGACGGTGGTGATGGTGAGGATGAGGATGGTGGTGATGGTGAGGATGGTGGTGATGGTGATCATTGTTAAAGACCTGCTCTGTGAAGTCTTTTCCAGCTTATCAGGAGGGTCAGCGTTTCCTCGCCTGTGCCCCTAATAGAACCAACCACAAAGAGTTCTGGTTTCTTATCCCACAAGTCTGAGTTTGCCACTAGACAGAGAGTCCCTAGAAGACAGGCACTGGGTCTCAGTGACAAGAATGAGAGCGTCTACACTAGTGTGTACCAAACTCCATAACATGTGCTTTTTCTTCTCATACAAGTAGTTTATAAAGATATAATTCACATACCACATACCACATATTCACATACCACCCTTTTAAAGTATAGCATTCAGTGGTTTTAATATATTCACAAAGTTGTGCAACCACCACAACTACTGGATTCTAAAATATCGCCATAAAAAGAAACCTTTCCCACTCCCCTCCCCCCTCCCCTGGCAACCACTAATCTACTTTCTGTCTCCATGAATTTGCCTATTCTGGACATTTTATGTAAATGGAATCATACCCTCTATGTCCCTTTGTGTCTGGTGTCTTTCATTTAGCATGATGTTTTCAAGGTTCATCTATATCTCAGTACTTCATTCCTTTTTAGAGTTGAATAATCCATTGTATGGATATACCACCTTTTGTGTGTTCATCAATTAATGGACATTTCAGTTGTTTCTATTTTTCTTGGCTATAATGAATAATGCTGCCATGCACATTCATGTACACGTCTCTGTGTGGACATATGTTTTCATTTCTCCTGGGCTTATGCATAGGAATACAATTGCTGGCTCACATGGCAACTCTATGTTTAGCTTTTTGAGGAACTGCCAAACTGTTCCAAAGCATCTGTACCATTTTACATGGGTTCCAATTTCTCCACATCTTTGCCAACACTTATTTCTATCTGTCTTTTTGATTATAGTCACCCTAGTGTTATGAAGTGGTATCTCATTGTGGCTTTGATTTGCATTTCCTTGATGGCCAATGAGCCATCTTTTCATGTGCTGAGCATCTTTTCATGTGCTTTTTGGCCGCTTGTATATCTTATTTGAAAAAATTTTTATTCAGGTTATCTGCCTGTTCCTTAATTGTGTTGTCTTTTTTTATTATTAAGTTGTTAAATTCTTTGCATATTTTGGATACTAGTCCCTTATCCAATTTATGATTTGCAGCTATTTTCTCCCATCTGTGGGCTATCTTTTCACTTTCTTATGGTGGCCTTTGAAGCACAAAAGATTTTAGGAATGAAGTCCAATTTCTCTCCTTTTCCTTTTGTTGCTTGTGCTTTTGGTATCACATCTAAGAAACCATCGCCTAATCTAAGGTCACGGTGATGCACCATAAGCTTTTTAAAAGCAGTCTTATTTTCGCTAATTCTATGAGGAAAGAGTAGTAGACCCATTCACAGATGAGGAAGCTAAGAGGTCAAATGCCAGAGCTGGGGTTTAAGCCCAGGTTAGTCTGGCTCAGAACCTCAAGTGTATCTTTCTGTGCCTCCCCCCAGTCCCTGCACCTCTGCATCCCTTCCAGGGTTTGGCACGGTGCCTGCTTAGGCCCCCAGGTAAGGTACCTTGGGTGGATGAGTGGCAGATCCTAACAGGTGCTTGGTTTGTACTTGCTGGTTGATTTGGGGGGACCCGTTAGCTGTTGACGAGGGGTCCACAGTGCTAGAGGTCACTGAATGTCTCTCTCCTCTCTTGCCTCTGCAGTGTCTCATCATTGGGGGAGGACCATGTGGTTTGCGCACTGCCATTGAACTTGCCTACCTGGGGGCCAAAGTGGTTGTGGTGGAGAAGAGGGACACCTTCTCCAGGAACAATGTCCTGCACCTCTGGCCTTTCACCATCCATGACCTGCGGGGCCTGGGAGCCAAGAAGTTCTATGGAAAGTTCTGCGCTGGCTCCATCGACCACATCAGTGAGTAGAGCCCATGATGGCACCCCGTTCAGAGGGCTGACCCTGGGTGGGGCACATCTCTCCACATTGAGGAGTTTCCAGGATGTTCCAGCTTACATGTCCCTGGGGGATCCATACATTCAGCCGGCAGACATTTCGTGAAGGGCCTGCTTTGTGCCTTATGCTGGCTCTGTGCTGCGTAGGCCCAGGGAAGCACCATGAGGTCGGGGCCTGCGGTGTGCCTTGTTCCCCAGAGTGTCTCCAGGGCATAGAAGAGCGCTCGACACATGGTAGGTGCTCAGTCAACTTCTGTTGGATGAATGGATGAAATATGGGAAATAGAATCAGAGGTAGGTAGCACGGTCTGCCCTCTCAGACGGCTCACCGAGATTTTGTCAGGAATAAACTGCGCGTTAACAGAGTTGTCAGACTTGCTGGAGGAGTTCTGATGAGGGAGGCACACAAAACCATGAAATGGGCCAGGGTGTCAAGCGCCTCTTGGATGTTGTGCTGCCAGTTCTGGGGGAAACTGAGGTTTTAGAACAGAGGAATGACACAATTGACAGGCCCTGAACCAAGTTGCCTTGAGTTCTAAAAAGAGAGAGGGCATCATGACAGGGGTTCACCCAGACAAGGAGTGGGGAGCAGAAAACATGGATTTCAGGCCCTGGGCCAGCCCTGCATGCCGAGTACGCTCTGGGGAGCACCGAGGCCCTTCTGCTCTGTGTTACTCCAGCCTGGGTCTCCAGGCAAGATCTGTGCAGACAGGCTGTGGGAGAACAGACTTCCCTCTTGGGCTGAGCAGGGAGGAGGTCTTTACCCATTTCGTATAGAAAACTGTGTCCCATAAAAGTCAGGGAGGTTAACACTGTGGGGAGAGTTCAAGGGCTTGGACAAATCTGGGCCCCAAATCTGTCTTGCCCATTTGCTGTGGGAGTTGGGTCAAATTCCTTACCTTCTGCAGGCCCCAAGTTTTGTCTCCTGTACATGGGATGAATGCCTGCCTCCCAGGACCGCTGAGAGAATCAAGTGAGGTCAAGTTTGTGATGTGCTTATCACTGTGCCTGGCAGGTACTAGGTACTCAGGAAATGTTTTGCATCCATTGGTGTGCAGTGGGCAAGAGGCAGCAGGGTCCCCAGCTTCAGATGTCAGAGCTGCAGTCTCCCAACCTGTGGGTGGGAGGAGAGCCCTGTGAGCCGTGTTCTCATGCAGACAGGAACCACAGGAAAGGGCGTGGGGCTCAGAGGAATGACTGGAGAAGGTGGGCAGCCACATAGGATGTAATTTAGTCATGGGTACAGGGGAACCTATCAGCAGAGGCCCCAGATTTTATTCCCACTCTGGCATGAGAAAATTCCAGGAGTCCATTGGAAAGAAATTTGGGTTTGCCCAGAAGGCTGCAGTGTCAGCTTTTGGGATATTCTCTACCACCCACAGAAGAATGTATGTTAGTGCCCAATTCGGAACTACAACATTGAGCACCACTTTCCCATCAGGCGCTCCTGAGAGGCAGAGCTGGGCACCAGAGCACCACCCCCATCTGTTGGGCTGCCTTCCCTGCTGGCTGGGAGCCCCTCTCTGCCCCGACTGATGGGGCTCCCATTTAACCCCTAGTTCTCAGAAATATCCCGGTATGCAGAAACACTGGCAAGAGTCTGGATCTGAGATTCTGACATTCAGGGCACTTGTTGTCAAGAGCAGTTCCATAGCCTGTGGGAAGGGAGACAGGGAGAATTTATTGAACACCTCCCATGTGCTGGAACAAGATCAATTAGGAACCTTGAAATGATGAGGAGAGGCCAGGCCGCTGCCTATGCCTGTTTCCAGGCATGAGGGGCATTGGCTTCTTTAAGCCCCAGCTGACTGGCTTCGTTTCATACCAACCCTGGTCTGCAGCCCAGGCTTTGCCCTCGCCCCCCAGCACGGCTCAGCAGTTCCCAACTGTCCCATGTCAGCATCTACCTCCAGTTCCCATGTGGCTGCTCCAAACCTCCACCACAGCCTCCTCCTTCTGAGCAGATGGCCTTCCTCCTGTGCTCTGGGGAGGAGAAGCCACTGGGGGGCACTCCCAGCCCCAGCCCATCTCCGTCCTCCTGCACTGGCCTCCACCTGAGTACCTGTTCCCTCCCCTCGCCCCATGTCTGAGGCTCAGCTCCACTCTGCTCCCTCCCGGGTTCCTGCCCCTTACCTCACTGCCCCTCTACCCTCTCTTATTTCCTTTACTTTTTCCTATTTCAAAGCATTTGCTGTAGAAAGAGGGGGTGTAGACTTGGTCTGTGTGTCCCATTTATGCCCCCTTCCATTGCAATCTGACTTCTTCCCCACCCCCTGTGAAGGAGATTTTCACTGAGATTGCCACCCCCAGAAGCCTCCTAACTCCCAAGTGCCCCAGCCTCTTGCAGAAAGTTTCTCGCTCTACAGAAAAATATTTGGAGGCATGCCCATGTGTGCTGAATGGCTGGGGACGAGGTAGAGAAACGAGGTGGTGACACTCATCAGGGGAGTTTAGGGAGTGGGTACAAGGTGAATTCCCATAAGTCCAGCTCTGTGGAGAGAATTTCCCACCTGACGCTGACCCTGGATGGCTAAGAGCTTAGGCTCAGTCCTTCACAAAATGACCCATTTCATCACTGACTTTACTTATGGCCATTACTCTCTAGGTCTACTCCTCTTTCTGTCTTTAACTTGTCAGACCTCTAGCCCGTCTCAGGAAGGAGGCAGGAAAGGGAGAGCCTCCATCGTGATAGCATTTTCTAAAAGCTAGAGCACAGTCTTGGAATCAGGCAGATCTGGGTCCACATTCTAGTTTTGCTGCTGTATGACCTTGAGCAAGTCACTTCACCTCACTGAGCCTCAATTTCTCATCTGTGAAATGGGAATAATTATCCCACAGGGTCATGGTGAGGGTTAAACGAGAAAACACTGAGTAGCTGGCACATAATTAGTTCTCAGTCGTGATCACTGCTGGAACACTGCTCTGCTCAGAGACCACTGAGCAGCGATTATAGAGGAGGACTATATGCTATAGCATACAGGAGGACTCAAGCATTGCTACTGATAATTCTTCTCTTTCCCCCTTCCTTTCTAACAGGCATTCGTCAGTTGCAGCTCATCCTATTCAAGGTGGCCTTGATGCTGGGAGTTGAAATCCATGTGAACGTGGAGTTTGTAAAGGTTCTAGAGCCTCCTGAAGATCAAGAAAATCAAAGTACAGTATAATCTTCCTCTTTTGTCTAGAAATCAGAAATTGCAGAATGGAAATCGAATTCGCAGCTCTCAAAGAATGTTCCTGTAAGAGTTATTCTTGTCGGGAGCTGTTGGGCATAATTCCTTCAGAGGATGTGTTACCTTTCCTGACCAACGCTGTCACTTTAGGTTTGCTCTTCTCCTCCCAGGGGATTTATTAAGTCATTAAACCTATAATTTGGTTACCTTGTCGGGAAGTGGTACTTTGACAAACAAAGTAATAGGTAATTAGGATAGAAGACCTAGATTCAGTCGTTTGATGAAGTTCATTCCTATGCTCTCCAGGCTGCGTGGGAACACACACGGACATGTGGCTACACTTGTTGTACCCACGTGATATTTTAAAACCCAGTTAAAAAAAACGTGAAGCTTCTAGAGCAAATATGAAATAAGTGCTCATGATATTATTTGGTATATAATATTCTGAAGCCTTATGGAAGCATAATTTACAAACCACAAAATACACCCGTGGTAGGTATGTCGTCTTCTTTAGTCACGTTGCTCTTTTTTCCTTTTAGTATGTTTATGTAAATGCTGAAGTCACACACACCATGGTCAGAGTTTGTTCATGATGCCTCTGCAGCTTATTTCTTATCGAAAGCTGCTGCTGCCTGGGCAGGGCTTGTGGTTTGGGCAGCTTCGTGTCGGAGACCTCAGAGCTTTGCGGGCTCGTTACGACTCTGACCTCTCCTGTCCTCCGCCCAGAATATTTCAGAATGGAGGAGAGGCCTTCCGTGGCTTTTGTAGCAAGACAGCATCTGTTAGTGAACTTCCAGAGATGCGTGTGCCTTCGCCTTTCTCAGACCCAATTCTGGGTGACCAGCAAGGTGTTACCTGGAAATGTTCTCATCGAAGGCTGTGTGCTGCCCATCAGAACATTTCGAGCATAATGAAGTGGGAAGCCAAACTGGTTTCATGACACCCAGCACGTCCTTCAGGTCTGGTTGGTAATAGGAGGGCAAGGAGGAAGAGAGGGGACTATGAAGAGAACATGGTAGAATACACTGAGACAAACAGGGTTCAAGTGAGACTGGCCTGAGAATCATTGAGGATAGATTCCCAGCCTTTAGAGAAACCAGTTAAATCAGGCATGGGGTGGGTGCTGCTGGTTTACCTTGTCCTGGATTGAACTGCTATTAAAGCCAGAAGGACTCCAGATGAGGGTGTGATTTAGGATAACTCTGGATCTTTCCTCTGGCAGCTCTGCCTGCGGTGCCTCTACCTAGTGATATTATCCCCTTTTTCCCCGGCCAATACTGAAGGGACCTCCCACCTTTCTCTGCCAACTCAAATCATTTTTCTGTTCTGGCAGAGATCGGATGGCGGGCAGAATTTCTCCCTGCGGACCACTCTCTGTCGGACTTTGAGTTTGACGTCATCATTGGCGCCGACGGCCGCAGGAACACGCTGGAAGGTGAAGACGCTTATTCCTGGAGCTGAGGGGGGTGGGGCACGGGAGTTGGGGGGGTGCTGCAGAATGGGGGCAAGATAGCAGGTGCCAAAGCTGGATGGGGGCCTTGATAGAAGGGCAGACTGTCCTGCCGTGCCTGAGGCTGAACATTCAGAGGGCAAGCATTTCATGGTCTCTGAACGTCAGGCTTCCCATCTGTAAAATGTAGATAATAGAACCTCCTCAGAGCATTGTCATGAGGGCTAGGAAAGGACTTGTATGTAAAAATGCTTTATAAAGGTAAAGTGCCATGGAAATTGAAAGTCAACATGCATTTATTGAGCTCCTGTCAATGAATCCATGGTACTTAGCACTTTCCCACTTACTCCATCTAGCTAAGACAACCATTCTTAGACTCTCCGTGGCCTTCTTGTCCTGTCACATGTAATACCCCAGCAGGAGGAGCCCGTCTCTTCCGTAACTTTTAAGCACACTCACTGCTGGGCAATAAGATGAGCTTTTCCCAGACTGTCAAGGTGCAAAACCCTGCTTCTCTGAGTTCTGGAGTTGGAAGCATAACATGTTTTCTTGGAGTAAGATCTGGTCAGGTTGGGAGAAGAGCGCCACTGCCAGAAATGTCTTCAATCCCCTAGCCCCTCCCCCGAAGATCAATTGACTCAGAGGTTGTACTAATTGGCGCTAACTGTATGAAGGCGAGACTGCAGATAATGGACAAAGTGGTCCCACATGGCCTCTCTCAGATTGGTGGCTATCTGCTCTTCAAGCTTGCCCCCCTCAAGGTCTGCAGGCTGCGGATTTCTGATGGGGAGGGCATGTCCTCTGAGGACAGAACACACTCCCGGAAAGAGGGCTGATGCTGGAGGATTTGGGAGGTGTGGGCTGCCTAGCTGGGCCCTACCCACATGCTGTGCCACCAGGACCCTTTCCCCACTCTTGCGCCTCTCTCTTCTCCTCCATCCCTACACTCGCCCGACCCCTGCAATCAATAACCCATATCTGACAAAGACTTTTTAAGCTGCTAACCTGGATGTTGTGCTGTTGGAATTTATGGGGCCATTTTGGTGGTTGGGTAAAATTGTAAGTCTGAATATTTGCCAATCCAAAATCCACACTTTGCCTGAGTATAGTTAGGCATATCATGGGCAGGAAAAGAAGCTGTGAGAAGGAGGGGAGCCATTTAGGCAGCTTAGCACCAAATAAGTAGACTAGAGTGGGAGTTTTCCTATACTGGCACTGTTGACATTTGGGGCCAGATCATTCTTTGTCCTGTGCACAATAGGATGCTTAGCGGCATCCCTGGCCTCTCCCCGCTAGACACCAGTAGCACCCCCCAAGTTGTAGCAACCAGAAATGTCTCCACACTTTGCCAAGATGCCCCCTGGGGGCCAAGGTCATTCCCAGTTAAGAAATACTAGACTAGACAATAGTGGCCATTTCTGACCATTTCAATAAAGTCTAATGAAGAATGATTTAAAGAGGAGGTATTGAGAAAAACCCCAAGGTTTCTAGTCAAAGGGAGTATTGACAGAGAAGTTTGGGAATCAGCATGAGGTTTGAGTATGTGGTGAGCAAATGTAGGGAGAGTTCCCAGAGGAGGCTGAACACAAAGGCATGTCCAGAGAGCCTGCCCTTGTGATGAGAGCCTTGAGTGAAGCAAAGTAAACAACAGTGTCTGGGGCAGAGGGAGGATTCAGGACTATGGGGTAGCCAGATGCTAGAAAGGAAGGGGATTGGCAGAAGATGCTCCATTGAAGTGTGACCACCTGCTTGGGATCCTCTGTGTCACCACCATTGAAAATCAATTTTAATGTAAACCATTAACTACTAGAACCCCAAGGAATCATTGTATTAAATCAATTGCAAGTTATACTTTTGTCTACTCATTATATATTTACTGAGTGCGGACTAAGCGCCAATCACTGGAGACTAGAAATAGAAAATTTGTTAAAATCCCCATCCCACAGGAATTCAGTCTCATAATCCTACTTTTCAAATGGAGGAAAACATGAAAAATGCTGACAACCTTGTTTGAATCATGTAAGTTCAAAGTGCACGTGTCATGGGTTTTCCTAGCAACAGTGCCTAGCAAATCTTAGCAGGATGAGCCTGCTGGGAAAATCACTTTAGCCTTTTGTATGTAGAAGCCTAACCAGAATAATTGGTCCTATAGATTTTAGGAAAGGAGAAAGTCCCCCTGACTGAGGCCTCTGGTGGTGTGTTTCTTCCTCAGGTACGAACCTTGGCATTTCCAAATGCCTGCCCCTGTTCTCCAGAGATGCAGAACTCTAGTTTCACTGGCCTGTGAGGCATCTGAGAACAGCTTCCTCCATAATCGTTCTCAGTTTTCACACCAAATGCAGAAGAAAGACTCCCTTTTTGCCTTTTTCCTCACGCAGGGTTCAGAAGGAAAGAATTCCGTGGGAAGTTGGCTATTGCCATCACCGCCAACTTCATAAACAGAAACAGCACAGCTGAGGCCAAGGTGGAAGAGATCAGTGGTGTGGCTTTCATCTTCAACCAGAAGTTTTTTCAGGACCTTAAAGAAGAAACAGGTGGGACCTTCACCTTTCTCCAAACCAGGCCATTGTCCGTGCTAGGCATTCCCAGCTCTTGGGATTGGGAGACTCACTCTGATTAAGTGGAAGCAGGGACTTCTCCATAGGATAGAAATGGGCAGGGTTCCTTCAAGGATGAGAGAGCTTCTCGAGGGAAGGTTCTGGATGTTGTACATGAAAATGGATAAAGATATATTTACTCAGCATTTAGTCAACATGCCCATTGTGTGCTTGTATTCAGTATCGTGGGGTACAAAGTTGAGGTTGACATTGTCCCCTCCCCAAATGGCTCCTTGTCCAGTAATGGACACCCAGGTAAACCACCCTGATGCAGGGAGATCGGTCTATGCCTGAGGCAGCATGAGCTTCAGGGAGCCCTCTGAGGAGGGAACCAGTAACCCCGGGTTGGTCCCCGAAGAAGTGTAGGTGTTCTAGTTCAGTGTACCAGCTGTCGTTCCCCATAAGGGACATCCAGGGATGCCCAGGAAACATGTACTCACCCCAGGGCATCAGTTGTCCCCTAGCCATGGGCCTTGAGTATCTTTCGAAGATACTCATTCATGTACTCAACAAATATTTATTGACTGCGTACTTGGTGCCAGATGCTGCTCAAGGGCCTGAGAAAGAGCAGTGGGCAAAACGAGACCCCTCTCTTGGAGTTTATATTCTATGGGGGGAGACTGTCAGTAAACAAATAACTAGCATGTCAGGCGGTCAAAAAGATGATGGAGAGAAGTAAAGCACGGTGAGGAGAAAGAGGGATGAAACCCCGCTGCCAGTTAAGTAAATTCCAGATTTTTCTTTTAACCTGATTTTAAAATCTTATCTCTCCTTGAAAGGCAGTGTGACAACAGTGTTAAATAAAAATTTGTTTAAAGATTTTATTTATTTTGAGAGAGAGAGTGTGAGTCAGGGGAGAAACAGAGGGGGAAGGAGAAACTGAGGGAGAGGGAGAGAGAATCCTCAAGCAGACTCTGCACTGAGCGTGGAGCTGGACGTGGGGCTCGATCCCACGACCCTGAGATCATGACCTAACTTGAAACCAAGAGTCGGACGCTTAACCAACTGAGTCACTCAGGCGCCCCTAAAATTTTTATGCTAGAAATAAATCATCCACACTCACTGTCAACCTGGCACAGAAATAGTCCTCATTTCCATATACTGCTTTTCAGTAACCGTCCACCTGTACCCTCCCTTTTTACATGGCTCCAGCTCTTAGCAGAGCGCTAGTACTCTTTGTGATTCTGGTTTTCTCATTCGGCATCGCATTGTAAATATTGTCCATATTGCAGCCAAGTCCTCCGGATGGTCAGTTTTGCAGGCTGCAGAATAGCTCAGGAACTGGATGTTTGTCACTGCCCGAGTGTCTACATTGGAGGCTGGCAAACTGTGGTTGGAATGGCTGAAGGAAAAGCAAAAGAAGAATATTTTTTGACAAATCGAAAGTTATATAGAACTCAGGTTTCCAGGTCCATAAATGAAAGCTTATTGGAACACAGCCACGCCTGTTCATGCATGTCACTGCCCATGAGTGGTTGTGGGCCCGGATGGCTTGCAAAGCCTGAAATACTTACTGTCTGGCCCTTTATGGCAAACGTGTGCTGGCCTCTGACTTAGACCTTTCAGTTACTTACCCTTACAGAGCAAACTGCTCCTGCTGGAATATTTCCATTTGGTTTTCTAGGAATGGGATTCCTTACGGAGCAGACTGTGCCGCTCTCTGGCCACGAGGACATGTGCTCATTGTGTGACCTTCTGAGTTTCACCACGGTGGCATGATTTTATTAGAGTGTTTTCTCCCAGCATGTTATGCTCTTCTGAATGATTTAAGAATTAGTTCAACCCTCCCTTCCTCTCAAAAACTGAGAAGATAAATACTTCAGCAAATCACCAAATACGAATTATGACAGGACACTGAGTGTGTTTTTCCAAATGTTTCAATGAGTTTCCTTTAAATTTCACTGGGATGGTCACCCTTGGCCATTGTTTCACTGTGCCCCTTACAAGGTGACAACGATGAATTTCCTCCCATTCTCTGGGGGGCCCTCTGCATTGATGGCTGTTTCCTATTTAACGGTAATAAAGGGGTTCCTATGGTTACCCAGGACGCCCTTATCAACTGCTGATAGGTTGTTATGTGTCTGTTCCTTTCTCTCCCTTTGAGGAAGCTAAGCCAGTGGTTCTCGAACTGACACGTGCATCAGAATCCCCTGTAGGCTCGTCAAAGTGCAGATTGATGGCCCTACGCTCAGAGTTTCTGATTTACTAGGTCCAGGGTGGGGTCCTGATCATTAGCATTTTTGGGTTCTCAGGTGATGCTGATGGTGCTGGCCAGGGGGGCCCCACTTTGAGAACCACTGAGCTAAGCTCTCATAGCATTTTTTTTTAATGCAGAAACCTAACCTATGAAGTGTTTTTGCAATTGCTGGAAAGTGCAAAGCTATACAACCCAGCCCTCTAAACTGAGTTGTTCCTGCCAGGGCATCTGGGTTTCCCCACACACAGGGGGGATAGTAGAAACATCGCTTCGCACAGTCTTGAAAGAATTCCCACAGCTCTTTGAATCTCTGGCCACATGGAGGGCATGGCATGGTGGATGGGACTTGGAATCAGACAAGCTGGGGTTCAAATCCTGGCTCTGTTGTTGCTTAGCTGCCATGCCCCGGACAGCTCTTGGCCCTTCTGCAGCACTTCACTCTAGCTTGGAAATACTGGTCCACAGTCCCTAAAGACTTTGAGGTTTTCTCTATTTTTTAAATGCTTTAATTATATTGCAATATATAAATATATCAAATCAACATGTCGTACACCTTAAACTAACACCATGTTATATGTCAATTACATCTTAATTTAAAAAAACACATAGTGTCTTTGGGGCACCTGGGTGGCTCAGTCGGTTAAACAGCCGACTCTTGATTTTGGCTCAGGTCATGATCTTAGGGTCCTGGGATCAAGCCCTGAGTCAGGCTCCATGCTCAGAGAGGAGTCTGCTTGGGGATTCTCTCTCTCCCTTTGCCCCTCCCCCTGCTCACATGCACGTGCGCTCTCTCTTTCTAAAATAAATAAATAAGCCTTAAAAAAAAAAACCACATAGTGTCTTTGTGGTACAATAAAAGCTAGCTGTGTGGAGTTGGGTAAATTCTAGCACTTAGTTTCATCTTTTCCAGCCTTGTATGTTTTAAAAACTTGCCTAACGTGAATACATGCAGGTAGGTAATGACACCTGTAATGCAGCGAGGCACTGAGACACGGAGGGAGTCAAACTGAGTCCATGCACGCTTCCCTTTGCAGGGATTGATCTTGAGAACATTGTTTACTACAAGGACTGCACCCACTATTTTGTCATGACCGCCAAGAAGCAGAGCCTGCTTGACAAAGGTGTCATCATTAATGTACGTATCTCTTGGCTGCGATGTCCTGTCTTTCCCTTTGTGACCCAGCAAGTGCAGGAGTAGGTGCTGTCCCTCAGGAACTGAGCAAGGGGGTAGGGGGCAGGTGGGAAAGAACCACCACCCACCACTCTCCTCCTCCGTGCTGTTGTGTGAGTGTTGGATGAAGGAGCCCACACCACTACGCACAGACGTGTTTCTGCAGAGAGCTGTGGGCTGTGCTGAGACCCTCACCCAGGTGTTCGTGTGAGCCTTTGCTCCCAAGAGATTGGCTGAGTCTTTTCCTTCCCCACGTCTCATTCAACCCTGCCCCTGTTTCGGGAAAGTCCCATGTCATTTGGAGGCCGATGGGGGCTCCTCGTCCTAGTGGGGCACTGAGACAACATTCGCTTGTGAATTTCCCTCTGTGGCCCTCTTGTCATGGGGTGGCGGGGAGCTCTCTGTTCTCGCAGTCAGAAAGGCTTCGTTTGAATCTTGGCTCAGTCGAAGATTAACTCAGGACTGTGACTAAGCTGCTCAGCTTTTCTGAACTTCAGTCTCCTTCTCTGGAGACTCCGAATAATGGTTTCTGGCTGAAAGGGTTGTTTGCAGAAGTAAATGAGAAAATGCATACAGAGCAACTGTCCCAGGGCCTGGCCCATATAGGGGGAGTTTACAGATTCCCTGCGTAACTTCTGTCTGGTTTGGACACCTGCTTTTTTGTCTTGCTGGCTTCCTGGCCTCTGTGTCTTGCCTTTGCATCTTCATGCTTCAACCGAGCACCAAGTTGGAAGAAAGCACATGGAGTTGGGGGCCCTGGGCTGGAAGATTCTTTGGTCAGGTTTTCAACCCTTCCAGAACCTCTGTTCCTGCCCCGGCTGTTGCCTGGTGCCATCCGAGGTCAGCCTGCTCTCGGGGTGTCAGCCTGGAGCCCGGGCGGCATGGTGACCATTCATTGTTGCTTGTCGGAGAAGAATGTGCCTGTCCTCTTGCCACTTGTGCTGGCTGCTGGTCGGGTGACATGAGTAACCCAGCCATCCCCGGGGCCTTCTCCACGTGGCTCAGGTCCTCGCTGAGGAGCCCGAGCTACAGACAGGAGGCTGTGAATGGCGGGACGGGGGTTGGAAGAAGCTGACTGAGCACAGCTAGCAGATGTGTGAGCAATGAGTTTCAGCGTCTGGTACTCCACGGCTGACGCAGTCTGGGGGAGGTGGGGGCGGTGGCCCCTTCTTTCCTCTGCTCCACAGGCACCCCTCTTGAAGTTGCCTCGTTCATCGGGAGGACTATGGCAGACAGTGAAGGACTGTTTGGGGTCCAGGGTTGCCAGCACAGTGGGCATCTCTGCAAAGGAGGGACCGAGGAGGCTTTTGTCAGCCTCTGACCCCACCCCCAGGGCGTTAGGCAGAGTTTGACGTGGGTTTCCTATTTCAGTGGCTAAGGACTCTAGCCTCTGGGACACCAGGGCTCCCTCAGGGCATCCCAGGGCATTTGTCCAGGTCAAGACATGTTGCTCATGGTGACTCAGCTCTTGGGCAGTTGTCAAAGCTCCTCCATACTCCCATCTGTCTGTCACGGCACAGGTGGGCACGTGTGACTCACTGTGAACCTGTCATGACTGTGGAAGAGCTGGGAGCAGATCCCGGGCTCGTGGGTGTCCTCACCAAGGCCTTTCTTTCCTTCACAGACTCTGGGGGCATCTTCTGAGCCAGTGCTGAGGGGCCTCTAGGTATAAGACAGGAATTCTCATCTCGAAATTACAGGCCCCAGGCCGGACATGAGAGAGCTGGACGGCCATTTGGTTCAGGAGCTCTGGCCTCGAGTCTCCCTGTGTCCAGCCAAGCTCTGTAGCATTTGCATAGCTGGGAGCTGGTCCATCTAACCCAAGTCACTCAAATTAACATTCTTGTCGTGCTCCCAGGGGAATGGCATGTCCTCTCTCGTTTCCTCTCCCCACATGGGTCAGCATCTTCCTAGAGGCACACAGAGGTGCTGAGCAAATGTGTGTTGAGTGACTGACTGATCTGCTTCCCCATCTATTCCTGCTGACCTCTGGGCTTCTTTCCATGGCTGCTGAAGGGAGAGTGAAGTTTCTCCTCAGGAAACCATGCCTCTGGGCTCCCCGCTCTGTCCATCTTGCTCTCTGTCACAAAAGGAGGGCAGCCCATTACCCCGGGACCCTGCCTCTGCTGGGCCACATACATACAGGCTAGGGATCCTGGATGCAGCAGGCTTGGTCTCGCCACTGTGGGAGGGAGCACTATGGCCAGGTGGGCAAGGTGAGCACACATCATAGCTGGTCTCCCGATGCTGAACCCGCCCTCACTGGAAGCCATTGCCTGACCTTCTCTTCCGGTCTCCAGCCTTCTTTTTAGCTCAGTACGTGGGGCGACTCCTCTTCCTGTCAGATTCCCCACCTGGGCTATTCCTGCTGCTTCTCTCTCCACTGCCCCCCTCTCTGCCTAGGACACAGCCTCTCTTCGGTACCTGTGCCTGTGGAAAGTGGGCCCCACCCTCATTCTCTTGCCTCTGTCTTAATTTAGAACTCCCTTCTCCAGGCCTGCCATTCCCTCCGTTCTCTCCCTTGTCCTTGTTCTCACCCTATCCCCGTGGTCCTGCTTCTGTATCCACCCACTCCCCTGGAACCTCCTGCCTGACAAGGTCCCTCGGCTCCTCCCAGCAGCCCTGGGCCACATGGGCTCTCAGCCCAACACAGCCTGGGGGTCTGCTCCCTGTGCAGGTCCCCGCGTTCCTGTCTGGGCCACCAGCACCAGGGACCTTCACGGTGCAGTGCTCACACTCACTCGTCAGCCAGCCCACCTGCGGCATGCTTTGAAGAGGGGGTGTTTTCAAGACCTCTCCATTCACCCTTCCCCGTCTCCTCTCCACACCTTTAAGGGAGGGAATTGGTCATGTGACCGTAGGAACAGGCATGAGAAAGGACAAGTGAATGGCAGGAGCTCCAGCCTGAGCACCACCGGCTGACACACGGTTCCCGGGCCAATGCTGGGTGCGGTCTGGGTGATGTAGTTTGGTGTGAACATGTTAGAATTTCTGGAACACGATATTTGAAATCGTGGTTATTAGGAAAATTGGCACAGTGGGTCACTCTGTTTGTAGACGTGGCTGTGCCTGCTAAGACCTTTGTAAATGCTCCTGGTGGTGCATGGGCGGGTCCAGGAACATACTGCACCAGATGCTGTGTTTTGTGCCGTCATGAATTACAGGGGACAGAAATTCCCATTCACTGAGCACTTCCCACGTGCCAGGCATCGGGTTGGGGACTTTATGTCTATGATTTCCTTCGGTCCTCACTGTGTGAAGTGGGTTTTGTTATTCCCATTTTACAAATGAGAAAATGGAAACTCAAAAAAGTTCAGCGATTTGCCCAAGTTTGCTCAGTGAACAGCAAAGGTGGAATCCAACCTCATGCTCTGGATAACCCCAAGGCCTGTGTTGGTCTTACACACTGGTTCCCACCCATGCCCCCGCCTCCCCTTGGGATCTGCACTTTCTGTGTCACGTTTTGGGAAAGATAGCCTTCTAGCTTCTTAGCCATATGACGAGCAGATTAGACTCTGGGAGACGTCCCGCAGGTCGCTGCGAGGGTCCCTTAGGGAGGGATATCCTGCTCCTCTAAGCCAGGGCCCTCCTCCTTCCAGCGGGGAGCGGACAGTTAACATTGTAAGAGCACAGCAGAGCCCCAAGCAGCCCTAGCCTCTCAAGAAAAGAGAGAGCTGATTCTGGAGAGAAGGTTTGCGAGCACTGCCAAGCACCCATGTCTTTTCTGGTCTTGTTTGACCACTAAACACAGCATGTCTGGACCATGTTAGCTTAGCTTAGTCCACTAAGAAATCACTGTTCCTTACTTGCTCTCTTGTCTTTTAATTTTACTGAAAGTTATCACAAGAACCAGCCATGGGAAATATACTCCTGCATTTACCGCTAGACCATTATTGAGTAAGCTGGTCATTACAACACTATGTTCCCTGTCAAAATTCCTACGTGAGACCGTTCTTTTAGAATTTAGTGCCAGGAAAAAAATTTCCTCCCCTAGGAATTTCTACGCTTCCTTCTTTCTGATAAGGAAAGCCCTGCCATAGATCACATTTCCCCTTTGCCTTGGATGCCAGGAAGCTCAAAGCCAAGCGTGAGGCCTAATCACAGCTCTGTTAACCCTGACAGATGACTGATTTGGTTCCTCCTGATTCCTTTGGCTCTGATTTTCTGTTTTGCTTAGCTTTGCTGTGCAAGCCCATTCCAAGTCCTTTTGCAAAGACGTGGGTATGAAGGCTTGCCTGTCACGGGGGCGGATTCCCGCACTGTGCTCTCTTTCTCTCCCCAGGACTACATCGACACGGAGATGCTGCTGTGTGCAGAGAACGTGAACCAGGACAACCTGCTCTCCTACGCCCGTGAGGCCGCAGATTTCGCCACCAATTACCAGCTGCCATCGTTAGACTTTGCTCTGAACCACTACGGGCAGCCGGACGTGGCCATGTTCGACTTTACCTCCATGTACGCCTCCGAGAATGCGGCCTTGGTGCGCGAGCGCCAGTCACACCAGCTCCTCGTGGCCCTGGTGGGCGACAGCTTGCTCGAGGTAGCGCCTGCATTTGGGAACCCCACCCGATTCCCAGTAGAAGACAGATCCCTGCATTTCTGGTGTGGCCAACGGCATCTGCTGTCGTGCAGCCAAGGGGAAGGATGGGCTCCCTGCCAGCAGGCCAGAGTCGGCCAAGCCCATCCTGGCTCCGGCTTGCACCTGGCCTGCCCTTTCACCAGACCCAGAGTTGCTCATTCTGCCTTCCTTTCCCCACTCTGGGCTCTTCAGGCTGATCTCTTTGTCACAGTACGAAACTAGTCAGCCCTGCTCTGCCGTTCACGGGTGGGCGGCCCTCTTCAGAACATGTACCCCCTCAGCTGGGCCACATCTTCTCCCTCACGTGGGGAGCTCTCTGGGGCCTTGCAACATGGAGATCGGAGAGGGGGCCAAAGGGCATGTGGGCTCCAAAGTCCAGCTTCCATCCGTGGCCTCCCTACTCAAAATGCTTCGCAGAGCGTCGGCAACTGCATGCATCCTTAGATTGAACGAATGTTTTCAGCAGGGTTACATTTTTATCTTTAAAGTAAGTAGTAACCAAAAAATGTTTGTTTATCCCAAGTTAAGAGTCAAATTCCAAACCATGCTTTGGGTGCCCATGGGACAGTTCAGTTAGAACTTAGCTTGGCGAACCAGCCCTCGCTCACCATGGTGTGTGGGCTGTGATCTGCCCCCGCCGCCGCCCGCCCCTTCTCAGCATTCTCTCTTGCTACTCAGCTCCGTTCCTCCACCAGGCCTTTGCCCATGCTAGTCTTGAACGGATCAAGATTAGAAGCCTACCCGATCTTTAAAATCAGCATAAATGCAACTCTTTTGTGAAGCATTTCCTGATTTCCATCTCCCTCCCCGGGGTGGGGAGGTGTGGGGGGTGTGGGCAGACGGACTTGCCTGTGCCTTGTTTGAGCCCCAGAGCAGTTTTGCTCTTCCTGTGACACCGCACCCACACTCCCTTCAGGGCTTCCATGGGCTCAGCAAGCAAAGTGCTGGATAGAATGGGATAGCAGGCTGGGGGGAGGGGGGAGGGTGGGCATGAGAACCATCTGGAATTTTGCATGTTTTCTTCTCCAGCCATTTTGGCCCATGGGCACAGGCTGTGCCCGAGGCTTCCTGGCAGCCTTTGACACAGCCTGGATGGTGAAAAGCTGGGACCAGGGCACCCCTCCCCTGGAGCTGCTTGCTGAAAGGTGAGTACTGACAGTGGGGCTTCCAGCTGGGGTAGGACTGGTTCCACAGCTCAGGCAGGAAAGGGAGCAGGGCTGGCCATCAGGCAGCTCCTGGATGAGCCTGGAGCCTCTGTCCTCTTGTATTTCCTTCCCACATGTGGCCTGATTTGATCATCAGGATCCCCGGGGAAACTCTCTGTGTCATGTTTTACCTCCTCCCGTGACTTCTCTGGGGACCAGGACGTTAGGACCTGAATGCAGAAGAGAAATCTTGATCTGGAGTGACCCCAAAGTTGGGGTTCCCAGCATGGCCCAGGCACTGTGAGCGGAAGAGGTTGAGGGGAAGCCTCGGCTGTGGGGCTGAGTGTCTTCCCCTGTGGGGGGCCGGGTATCTGACCTCTCAGGCCTCTCCTGCTGTTGCTGAGACCCAGAGCTCCCCCCCAGACCCCGCTGCTGGCCCCGTGGCTGTAACAGCTGGTGGACTGGGAGACGGCAAGACTGATGGTGGGGGGGGCAGACCTCTGTGGGTCTTGGGTGTGGTGGCCTGTGGGGACAGGAGGCCACGGGAGGCAGCGTGGCTGAGTGGTGGTTATAGCAAAACCACAGGTCCCTCGGCTACCAGCTCTGGTGTCCCTGCCCTCTGCTCGGGGGAAGGAAGCCGGCATCACTGCTGCTGGACACCCCCTCCCCCCCACCCTCTCCAGCCCTTCAACTGTCCCCCACTTTGTGAGTCTCAGGAACCACAGGGGCCAGGCACTGCAGGGAAGAGGTACACAAACACATCTAAGAAGCCCTTAAGAGCAGGGAAGGGGTGAGGGAATGAGGGGATGAGGCTGCCAGAGCAGTCCCTGACCCCTGGGCTCTGCCTCATCCTAGAGAAAGTCTTTACCGGCTGTTACCTCAGACCACCCCGGAGAACATCAACAAGAACTTTGAGCAGTACACGCTGGACCCAGGGACACGGTACCCAAATCTCAACTCCAACTGTGTCAGGCCCCATCAGGTAAGTCCTTCCCTGGGCCCCATCTGGGCTACCCTGCCCCGAACGGTGGGTGGGAGGTCATGCAAAACCTGGCCCCATCCCCAAGGCTGTGGCCGCCAATGCCTCCTGGCTCCGATGTGGGACCAGTTCTTCTCTCTAGGAGAGCCATGAGAGACCATAGAGTCAGTGTCTCTCTAGCCCACAGGAAAGAACGAGAACAGATGCCATGTCTGTCCTCATCTGCACACACGCTGACGTGTTTACTGTCACCGTGCATCGGTATTGCTGAGCACGCCTCTGTCACGGAGTCTACTCGGCCAGCCATCAGGTCCTTTCAGTTCCCAGTTCCTGAGTTTCCTCCTGTTGACTCAGGAACCCACAGCCGCTAACTTCTTCTGGCTGTGCTGTTTGCAAACCCCGTCCTGCTGTTTGTAAAATCAGCCACCTGTGTGTTTTCACACTTGAGTCCCCCCACGTTTGGGTGGACAGCTGAGATCCATGGCTCTGCATCTCAGGTTCCCTGGGGCCCCTTGTCCAAAGTCCTGCCCTCCAGCGAGAGAGGAAAAGGATGGTGGACGTGGAGGAGAAGCTGGGCCGGCCCCAAGACTGGCTTCGGGGAAACCCCGGTGGGCAGCTGCGTGGTCTCTTTGGCTTGTAGGTGAAGCATTTGTATGTCACTAAGGAGCTGCACCCGTGCCCTCTCGAGAGGCTGGGCTCGGTGAGGAGATCCATGAGCCTCTCCAGGAGGGGTAAGCCACTGCCCTGGGTCCTCGGCCAGGATGCTGGGTGCGGGGTGGGGGATCGCTTTGCAGGGTGGCCGTGGGGGCCCAGGCCCTGCAGCCCACTTGGCTCTGCTGCTGTGACCTGCGTGACCTTGTCCAGGTACCTCTCCTCTGTCCTCCCATTTCCTCATCTGTAAAACCAGGACAAGGACAGCCCCAGCTGCAAATCGGTTGTCAAGGAGAGAATATGTGTCGAGCACTTAGGACAGTAAAGTGAACGGTGGAACTGCGCCTTGCTTTTCCCTCCCTGTTGTTTACAGTATGGGGATCTTGTCTCCCCAGCTAGATAACAGGCCCCACATGCTACACACTTTTCCTAGTGGAGGGAAGGGATGGTTAAATGAGTAACTCCCCAGCATCAGTCCGGCCTGGCTCGGGTCACCGTCCAGCCGAGAGACCTCTTCGGTCTCTGTTGCCCGCCCAGACCCCGCCTCCTCCCTGCCGCTGGGTGCACACCGCCTTACCAGCCTCCCCTCCCATCCCCTCCCATCCCCTCCCACCGCATGCCCCACTGCTGCTGCCTCTGTTGTACACAGCCTGCCCGGCCTTGCTAGATTCTTCCATGGCACGGCCCTTTTCTGTTTTCCTGGAATGCCTTCTGTCTGATGAATCCCTCGACACTCCTCAAGACGCGGCTCAGATGCACCTGCTCCATGACTCTCTCCACTGTCTGTCTCCCCCTCATGCAGAGTTAGACATCCGGCCCAGCAAGCTCTTAACCTGGTGCCAGCAGCAAACCGAGGGCTACCAGCATGTCAATGTCACCGACCTGACCACATCCTGGCGCAGCGGCCTGGCCCTGTGCGCCATCATCCACCGCTTCCGGCCTGAGCTGATGTGAGTTGGGGGTGCAGGCTGCACCTGCTGAGCCCTCCATGGCCCAGGGGTACCCTGGAGACAAGGGGAACCAGGGATGTTCTGCTGGATGTGGAATCCTGGCTCAAAGTCTATCTTTGGTTTGAGTTTTTCTTAAGTTTTTTTCTTTGCTGTTTGCACTGATTACTCTGTCAGCAGCTTGATTAACCTGTGTTCCTAATATGTGAGGAGCAGACGCAGCTCAGGCTCCGTGCTTGTACTCGTCCCCACATCCCCTCCACCCCCGTGCTGGGGAAATCGAGCATTCACCCCTGGGCACTCTCCCCACAAGAGAGAAATTACGTGCAAGACCTCATTCTGGGGACGAGTTTGAGGATTTTACAGCCAAGAGAATTAGATCTGTTAGCTGTTAGCTGTTAGCAGACCAGTTAGCTGTGTGGCACTGGGCAGGTCCCTTAGCTTCTCTGAGTTTGTTTCTTTGTAAATTGGGAATAATGGCAGCGTCGATAGGAAGATTGGACACACTTTGTGATGTTGAAGGCCTAGTACATGTATTAATGTTGAATTCAGATCGGCTGCAGAGTAACCACACACCCACGGGCACATTCATCCAGAAGGCTGAAAGGAAACCTCCCAGAGGGTTATCATTCGGTGCCTTTAGGAAGTGAGGCTGCCTCAAGAAGGGGATGGGGTGCTCACCTGTTACTTTATATGTTATTTATCCCTTGATTCCTTTTTTTTTTTTTTTACAAGATATCCATATACTTTTATAATTAAAAGCACAAGCACGTAAAGAAACTATTTAAAAATAAAGTAGCTGATAAGTTTTCCAAAGACAAATTATTTTCCCATTGTTTCAGCCCAGGCAGCAATGACATTGTCATGGCCTAAATCTGATTTGGTCCCTACCCCAAGTGTGGAGGAGCCTCCCTGGGCAGTAGTGGGGGGGGGCAGTGGGGTGGGGAGGGCAGCAGGGGGCTGGGGTGACTGGGGGCAGGAGCCGGGGTTGCAGCTCCCTCGCCCCTCCCCACCCAGTGAGACCCAGCAGAATGTTGCCCACAGTGCTCCTTACAGGTAAGTTGGTTCAGCTTTTCACACCTCTGTCTCCTGTCCCTGAACTTTGCGTTGTTCTGGTTCTCCAGCAACTTTGACTCTCTGAACGAAGATGACGCTGTGGAGAACAACCAACTGGCATTTGACGTGGCCGAGCGCGAGTTTGGCATCCCCCCAGTGACCACGGGCAAGGAGATGGCGTCAGCCCAGGAGCCTGACCAGCTCAGCATGGTCATGTACCTCTCCAAGTTCTATGAGCTCTTCCGAGGCACCCCGCTGAGGCCTGTGGGTAAGGCCCTGCTTTGGGACAGGCTTTGCTATGCCCTTGGGCCATCTCCGCCCTGTGCCCATGTCTGGTTGCTCTCCACACTGGTGTCCTGTGTTCTGAGGTCGGCCCCCTGCCTTCCCTCTCACTTTGAGGCCAAACCGGGGTGGACCTGTGTGTGTGAGTAGGTGTGTGTGGCAGGTGCCACGTGAGGCCGAAGGTCTGCCCCCGTGACTGGGAGGTCACTGGTTAGAGCTGCATCAGCCCCCTACCCAGCCCATTTATATCTTTAGTTGAGGGGGAGGGAATTATTTGGAGGGACCTTGTAGCCATGACAGCCCCTGAGCCCCGGGGTAGTGGTGGCAGGGTCCGATCTCTGTCATATTTTTATTTCCTAACAGATTCTTGGGGCAAAAACTATGGAGAAAATGCAGACCTCAGCTTGGCCAAATCCTCCATTTCTCATAACTATCTCAACCTCACATTTCCAAGAAAGAGGACTCCACGGGTAAGTTTCGGCCATGGATGGGGCAAGGGGAAGGGAGAATGTCACGTGCTCGGTCTGTTAATGCTGATAACTGACCCAGATCGAGTGCCCACGGGAGACGTGAGTAAAGCGCTGTTTAGTGACCCAGTGCTGCTGGAAGTCCCCCGGCGCCGTGTAGCTGGGATTGGTGACATGAACTGGTTACAGGAAGGGCATGGCACAGAACTGAGAGGTCATGCCACTGAGTATTTTTTTAAGTAAATCAGATTAGCCCTGTCTCCTAAGAGGAAGGTGGAGATGATTTCTTACTTGTTAAGCAGTTTAGATCAGTTATACCATGGCTGTTAGTGGCAGAGTGTATGGTGATGCTACATTTATACATTCTGTTCCATTAATTTCCTTCCTTTTCCTTTCCTTTCCTTCCTTTTCCTTTCCTTTCCTTCCTTTTCCTTTCCTTTCCTTTCCTTTCCTTTCCTTTCCTTTCCTTTCCTTTCCTTTCCTTTCCTTTCCTTTCCTTCCTCCTTTCCTTTCCTTTCCTTCCC